ACAGGATACAGAGACACAGGATACAGAGGCACAGGATACAGAGACACAGGATACAGAGACACAGGATACAGAGGCACAGGATACAGAGGCACAGGATACAGAGACACAGGATACAGAGACACAGGATACAGAGACACAGGATACAGAGACACAGGATACAGAGGCACAGGATACAGAGACACAGGATACAGAGACACAGGATACAGAGGCACAGGATACAGAGTCACAGGATACAGAGTCACAGGATACAGAGACACAGGATACAGAGGCACAGGATACAGAGACACAGGATACAGAGGCACAGGATACAGAGGCACAGGATACAGAGACACAGGATACAGAGACACAGGATACAGAGACACAGGATACAGAGACACAGGATACAGAGACACAGGATACAGAGACACAGGATACAGAGACACAGGATACAGAGGCACAGGATACAGAGGCACAGGATACAGAGAACAGGATATAGAGACACAGGATACAGAGGCACAGGATACAGAGGCACAGGATACAGAGACACAGGATATAGAGGCACAGGATACAGAGGCACAGGATACAGAGGCACAGGATACAGAGGCACAGGATACAGAGACACAGGATACAGAGACACAGGATACAGAGACACAGGATACAGAGACACAGGATACAGAGACACAGGATACAGAGACACAGGATACAGAGGCACAGGATACAGAGGCACAGGATACAGAGACACAGGATACAGAGACACAGGATACAGAGACACAGGATACAGGATACAGAGACACAGGATACAGAGGCACAGGATACAGAGACACAGGATAGAGAGACACAGGATACAGAGACACAGGATACAGAGACACAGAGACACAGGATACAGAGGCACAGGATACAGAGACACAGGATACAGAGGCACAGGATACAGAGACACAGGATACAGAGACACAGGATACAGAGGCACAGGATACAGAGGCACAGGATACAGAGACACAGGATACAGAGGCACAGGATACAGAGACACAGGATACAGAGACACAGGATACAGAGACACAGGATACAGAGACACAGGATACAGAGGCACAGGATACAGAGACACAGGATACAGAGTCTGGTTTATCTAATATGAAAAGCACTGATGACCTCATGTTGTGTATGAAGTGTGGAAGAGGCTCGACTGCACACGCCTCGGGTTTAGAACACAGTCACATCTGAGCCACTTGCTCCGAGCTCAAAACAGAACCAAGAAGTCACTACTCACTTTAGAGTCTGCAGTCGACAGTGAGGACTCTGTTGGAGTTCCAGGAGCTTCTTCACATCAGAATCAGACAGATTGTTCCCCCTCAGGTACAGGTCTGTGAGATGTGAGGGGTTGGACTCCAGAGCTGAGGCCACAGAGGAACAGCTGATCTCTGACAAACCACAGCGCTCCAACCTGAATAAAGAAAACATGATGTAATGAGCACGAAAGAGAAACGATAAAAACATGAAAAGAAAAGTGACTGAAAACAAATCTATAGAAAGACTCAGTTTTTAATGTTTTTAATGTTTCTTCAGAACAAACTGAGGTCAGTGTTTGTTACTTAATTACAAAGTGACTTTTGAAGAAATCAAAGGTTTCATCATCGGTTTGAGGTTTTATTGAAAAAGAAACATTTAGACTTTTTTTTACATTAAACAGATTTATTGATATTTTATTTTATATATTTTCTTTTTATTTGAAATCACTTTTTCACTAGATTTTGTGACAGTTTTAGAACCTGTTCAACAACAAGCTGAAGCGAAACAGTTAAGCCTGGTGCACATGGCAGGATAATTAGGCCGATTTAAGACCTGATTTACCCCTAACGACAATCTTAAGAACGCTCTGATATTTGTAAAAATAATCTGATGGATTTTCCATGTGTGGTGTGTTCAGACTGCGTCGCTCAGAAGGACTTTGGGACTGCTCCGATCTCAGGGATATCCAACATGTTGGATTGTTTTGGCCTGATTTCTCTTCATGTGTGGTGTCGGGGACAGACGAGCACGCTGCCAGTGGACTGCGGCGTGTAGCCAATCAGAAGACCAGGTGACGAGGCGGCGAGGAAACACCAGAAAAGAATCATAACAGTCAGCGGCAGCACCAGAAAGTCCGGTGGACGTCGGAGATGGAGGACCAACTACACTGTAAAACCCAACAGTACATCTTACTAAATGAAGTGAGTTACTCTAACTCAGTTCTGCTGAAAGGTCAATATAACCAAACCAACTGAGTTACAAAAGCCCAAAACTAAATATATGATGCATTAGTTCATTTTGATTGACTTTTATCCAATATGTATTGAAATGTATGCAACATTGTTGTTAATATTTTTGTTATACACACTTGCAAAAAGGTTTTTATGTATTTTTTATCAAGTACAAAACATGTTGCAATCTTATTTCAAAAATATAATGGGCACAGAAATGCAATAATTATGAGATACATATTTATTAAATGTTTTTAAACATTTTACGTTTATTTTCCTCCTTAGATTTGGCAATTTCTAAAATGTTATCTTATTGATGGGCTATGAGGGAATTGAACCCCAGCCGCCAAAACGGTAGAGCTCATCACGCTGAGCTAATTTATCAGTCATAAGACCTTAATTTCTTCATATATAACAACTTTGTCAGGTACAGAGCTGGTAGTACTATTTCATTATTTAAGTGGTTGATTGCATACATTTTATTGATTCAAATGAAACAATAATCCATATCCATTTATGTATTTAAACCTGGAGAGAACTACAGAGACAAGATGCGTTTAAGAGTTGTTTATTTTATGGATTGAGTTTGTTTATTGGTTTGGAGCTTAGGCCCCGGCTGTGGCCGTGCTCTGAAGAGATCTGCGCCTGGGTGCAGATCATGATCCCCCGGGGCCTAGACACTGGTGGTGGCAACAAGGCAAGGTGAATGTGAGAGTGAAGAAATCCTGAGGCGGAGGTGGGGAGGAGGTGGTTGCAGCTTGAAGTCCGTTTGGTGAGCTGTGCTCTGCTTTGCTCTTAAACGCTGGCTTGATTGACACGGCTGCGGGGAGTTGATTAAGACAGGCTGAGTAAGGCGTGGTCAAGCCTGGTGTGATAACGTAGGTAGTCTACCATACTGAACCTCCGCTTAAGCTCCATTTCAACCTTGAGAGACTACAGAGACGAGATGCGTTTAAGAGTTGTTTATTTTATGGATTGAGTTTGTTTATTGGTTTGGAGCTTAGGCCCCGGCTGTGGCCGTGCTCTGGAGAGATCTGCGCCTGGGTGCAGATCATGATCCCCAAAAAGAGAGCTTGGCTAGCGATGCGTTTGCCATGACTTGGTTGCTGCGTTTATGGAAGGCGCATGGTGTGAGTGACTGTTTCCGTGCGTGAGCTCGGCTCTGGCGCTAGGCGTTGGCACGCGCACGAGCTCGGCTCAAGTGCGCGGCGTAATGCCCGGGCGCGAGCTCGGCTCTAGCGCTAGGCGTTGGCACGCGCTCGGCTCAAGTGCGCGGCGTAATGTCCGTACGCGAGCTCGGCTCTAGCGCTAGGCGTTGGCACGCGCACGAGCTCGGCTCAAGTGCGCGGCGTAATGTCCGTGCGCGAGCTCGGCTCTGGCGCTAGGCGTTGGCACGCGCACGAGCTCGGCTCGAGTGCGAGGCGTAATGTCCGTGCGCGAGCTCGGCTCTAGCGCTAGGCGTTGGCACGCGCACGAGCTTGGCTCGAGTGCGCGGCATGCTGGAAATGAGGAGTTGCCACCACCAGGAGATGCATACGTACTTATATGAGAGGAGGCGCTGGGCTGCCAGAACGGATGAATGTGGTAGAGAACCGGGGACCGAGCTCCTGGAGAGATGATTGAGGGAGTCCCAGGGCAGCAGTCCAAGTGGCTGCTCCTATCCGGAAGGAGTGGCGGGTGTAGAGAAAGGAAGAGAGGTTACATGCAGGGAGCAGAGGTTTTGAATTTGTTCAGACCAGGGGGTCGTTGAGGGATTGTTTAAGGAGTAATTATAGTCTATGAATGTTGATAAAATGTCCATAGATGTTGTAGAATGTTAAAGTATCCTGGATCATCACCACGGGCCTTCTAGTTGGACACTAACTGTCCAGACCCTCCTGCATGGCAAGGAAAACTCACAAAACCCCGTGGGGAAAAAAGTGAGAAACCTTCGGAAGACCCTACATAGAGAGAGGGAATCCACTCCACGGACAAACAGGCTAGTCGTCCAGGACCTAAACTACAGAACAAGGACCATTGCCAATACTCCTTTAAGGATCTTCTTATGAGGGTGGAGCAGTGTGACTCGAAGTGGATTTTAGAGCATGTATTTAATGCCGATGTAGTTGAGGCAGTGACGGCAGTACCCGCGATGCTGATGTCCAGAGACTGAGAGTGTGCAGTGAGAGGGAAAGGAGAATGCTGAATGAAGGATGAACTGCTGGTGTTTAGAGCGCTGATATTCGAACATGATTCCACTTGGGGAGACTAGAAGGTGAAAATGAGATTCATGAAGTACACTTACCCAGGAAGATTGATGTTCGATAGGAGATCTCTGGACCCCCAAAAACCAACGCACGAGGGCCCGGTCAGAATGAGGGCCAGGGTGCGTCAGGTAAGGCGAAGCGTGAGACAGGCCCGGCGGCAGGAGCCGCACCAGGAGACCAGGAGAGAATATGCCTGGGGAACATGAGAAGGAGCACCGCCTACAGCCACTCAGAGTGCACGCAAACCGTGGCGGGCAGTGCTGCACACCAAAAGCCAATGAGTGCGGCCTGGGGAAGATAGCCGACCAGGTTTGAAGGCCACGCCGACAGTACTCATGCAGTCTTAGCAGGCCAGCGTTGCAGCAGGCCACCGTCGCGGCGTTGTAGCAGAGCTTTGGTGCGGCGTTGCGGCATCGCGTTCCTGCGAAGCTGAAAAGAGAAACCTCGAACCACTATCACTCGAGTGAAAAGGACCAACGGGCAGTGTCAGACCGCGTCTTCAGTCAGACCACGTCTTCAGTCAGACCGCGTCTTCAGTCAGACCACGTCTTCAGTCAGACCAGTCAGACCGCGTCTTCAGTCAGACCACGTCTTCACAGTCAGACCACGTCTTCACAGTCAGACCGCGTCTTCAGTCAGACCGCGTCTTCAGTCAGACCGCGTCTTCAGTCAGACCACGTCTTCAGTCAGACCACGTCTTCAGTCAGACCGCGTCTTCAGTCAGACCGCGTCTTCAGTCAGACCACGTCTTCAGTCAGACCACGTCTTCAGTCAGACCACGTCTTCAGTCAGACCGCGTCTTCAGTCAGACCACGTCTTCAGTCAGACCACGTCTTCAGTCGGACCACGTCTTCAGTCGGACCACGTCTTCAGTCGGACCACGTCTTCAGTCAGACCACGTCTTCAGTCGGACCACGTCTTCAGTCAGACCACGTCTTCAGTCAGACCGCGTCTTCAGTCAGACCACGTCTTCAGTCAGACCACGTCTTCAGTCGGACCACGTCTTCAGTCGGACCACGTCTTCAGTCGGACCACGTCTTCAGTCAGACCACGTCTTCAGTCGGACCACGTCTTCAGTCGGACCACGTCTTCAGTCAGACCACGTCTTCAGTCAGACCGCGTCTTCAGTCGGACCACGTCTTCAGTCAGACCACGTCTTCAGTCAGACCGCGTCTTCAGTCAGACCACGTCTTCAGTCAGACCGCGTCTTCAGTCGGACCACGTCTTCAGTCAGACCGCGTCTTCAGTCAGACCGCGTCTTCAGTCGGACCACGTCTTCAGTCAGACCACGTCTTCAGTCGGACCACGTCTTCAGTCAGACCACGTCTTCAGTCAGACCGCGTCTTCAGTCAGACCGCGTCTTCAGTCAGACCACGTCTTCAGTCAGACCACGTCTTCAGTCGGTCCGCGTCTTCAGTCAGACCACGTCTTCAGTCAGACCGCGTCTTCAGTCAGACCACGTCTTCAGTCAGACCACGTCTTCAGTCAGACCGCGTCTTCAGTCAGACCACGTCTTCAGTCAGACCACGTCTTCAGTCAGACCGCGTCTTCAGTCAGACCACGTCTTCAGTCAGACCACTGACCTGATCCTTCGATGCCGGCTCTTCCCGTCATTGTGAAGCAGAACTCTCCTAGCGTTGGATTGTTCACCCACCAATAGGGAACGCGAGTCCATGGTCGACACTGGTTCCACGATGAATGGATGAGAGCACACGAATGCGTCGAAGCATGAGGTCGAGAATGCGGCAGGAGGCGGACACCGACGTGGAAGCGTGTGCGCCGACCGACGTACGGCGATGAAGCGTGCGGCCACCGACGTGTGCTGCGTTGAAGCGTGCTGCGTCAAAGTGTGCGGCGTCGTTGAAGCGTGCTGCGTCAAAGCGTGCGGCGTCGTTGAAGCGTGCTGCGTTGAAGCGTGCTGCGTCAAAGCGTGCGGCGGCGTTGAAGCGTGCTGCCTCAAAGCGCGCTGCCTCAAGGCGTGCGCCGTCGTTGAAGCGTGCGCCGTCGTTGAAGCGTGCGCCGTCGTTGAAGCGTGCTGCATCAAGGCGTGCAGCGTCGTTGAGGCGTCAAGGCGTGCGGCGTCCAAGCGAGCGGCGTCCAAGCAAGCGGCGTCCAAGCGAGCGGCGTCGTTGATGCATGCGGCTGCGTCGATGCATGCGGCTGCGTCAAGGCGTGCGCCGGCGTCAAGGCGTGCGCCGGCGTCAAGGCGTGCGCCGGCGTCAAGGCGTGCGCCGGCGTCAAGGCGTGCGGCGTCCAAGCGAGCTGCGTCGTTGATGCGTGCGCCATCGTTGATGCGTGCTGCGTCAAAGCGTGCTGTGTCAAAGCGTGCGCCATCGTTGAAGCGTGCTGCATCAAAGCGTGCTGCGGCGTAGCGTGCGGCGTTGTTGAGGCGTCAAGGCGTGCCGCGTCAAGGCGTGCCGCGTCAAGTGAGCGCCTTCGTTGATGCGTGCGCCTTCGTTGATGCGTGCGCCTTCGTCGATGCGTGCGCCTTCGTCGATGCGTGCGCCTTCGTCGATGCGTGCGCCGTCGTCGATGCGTGCGCCGTCGTCGATGCGTGCGCCGTCGTCGATGCCTGCGCCGTCGTCGATGCGTGCGCCGTCGTCGATGCGTGCGCCGGAGTCGATGCGTGCGCCGGAGTCAATGAGTGCGCCGGAGTTGATGCGTGGAGGAGGAGTCGAAGCGTGGAGGACGAGTCAAAGCGTGGAGGAGGAGTCGAAGCGTGGAGGAGGAGTCGAAGCGTGGAGGAGGAGTCGAAGCGTGGAGGAGGAGTCGAAGCGTGGAGGAGGAGTCGAAGCGTGGAGGAGGAGTCAAAGCGTGGAGGAGGAGTCGAAGCGTGGAGTCGTCGAAGCGTGCGGCCACCGAAGTGGCGTCGTCGAAGCGTGCGGCCACCGAAGTGGCGTCGGCGAAGCGTGTGGGCGTTGAAGTGTGCGGCCGCCGACGTGTGCTGCGATGAAGCGTTGAAGTGAGGCCATTGAAGCATGCCTGAAGGCCAACGCACTGGTTAAAACGAACAGTACAGTGGGGCTCGGCCGCGCTCCGACCAATCAGAGCAGCTCATCAGACACGGACAGCCGGGAGGCAATGCAGTGGGCAAAACTTACAGTCCACGGTCAAATAGACAGCGCAAAGGCCAATGCAGACGACAAATGTTATAGTCCATGGTTACAACTGACAGCCTGGAGGTCACTGCATTGTGTAGAATGTTCATCCCATGAGTAAAACGGACAGCCAGAAGGCCAATACAGTGGTTAAAATGTGCGGTCCATGGTGAAAACGGACGGTCTAAATGCCAATGCAGATGGTAAAACGAACAGCCTGCAGAGCAATGCATCGGGTAAAAACACAGCCTGCGAGCCAATTCCGCGGGATTAACTGACACGCCGCAGTTCAGTACAGTTCATGGTAGTGCGGAAAACAACGAAACAGACACTGTACCGTGAGTGGAGGCAGGGAGAAGGGTGGACAGAGGCAGCAGACAACGGCAGGCAGACAGAAGTCCCGTGCGCCGGTATGGAAGCGGCAGGGTGCGCGGAGCCTGGCCGCGAGCGCAGCGGCCACGGGGAGACGAGCTGCAGCGAGTCCGCAGGAGAGGACCCGCGGTGGAGACACAGCGACCATGGCGCGCAGCCCCAAACATGTGATGTGGAAGAGGAGCCGCGACCATGCAGGACGAACAATGTGCGAAGCTTGAGTAAACAAAGTGACGAAGAGCAACCCATTGCAGCTTGAAGTCCGTTTGGTGAGCTGTGCTCTGCTTTGCTCTTAAACGCTGGCTTGATTGACACGGCTGCGGGGAGTTGATTAAGACAGGCTGAGTAAGGCGTGGTCAAGCCTGGTGTGATAACGTAGGTAGTCTACCATACTGAACCTCCGCTTAAGCTCAATTTGTTTTCTCTGACTACGCATGCGCAGGTGAGTGTGACACCTGTGTAGACTAGCGACAAGAAGCCATCCCTCAATTTGCTGTTGTCTTTTCAGGAGAAGAATGACATAAATGTCATTAGAACAGTAGCCCTCCATCCATCCATCCATCCATTTTCTTCCGCTTTATCCGTTGCCGGGTCGCGGGGGCAGCAGTCTAAGCAGAGACGCCCAGACTTCCCTATCCACACACACTTCCTCCAGCTCGTCCGGGGCGACCCCAAGGCGTTCCCAGGCCAGCTGAGAGACATAGTCCCTCTGTGTCCTGGGTCTTCCCCGGGGCCTCCTCCCGGTGGGACGTGCCCGGAACACCTCCCCAGGGAGGCCTCCAGGAGGCATCCGGAACAGATGCCCGAGCCACCTCAACTGGTTCCTCTCGACGTGGAGAAACTGTCATGATTCTGTTTTTGTTCTTTTCCCAGAGCATGTGTGAGACAGGGGGCGTGGCCGGTCTCTGCTGGGCTGCTGACGAGACACACCTGCATCCACTCACTCCACTCTACTCAGTATTTGAACCTGGTCTGCTCATCACTCCTCTGCCAGATAATTCCGTCATATCGGTAGTGCTGCACAGGTTTTTCTCTACCTACCTGCTTTTTGGATTACTTACCAGTTGCTATTCCAGATCCTGTGCTCGTCCAGTCCTTGTGTCTTCGCTCTGCTCTCCGGCCGGCCTGCTCCCTGTCTCCACTGCTCCTTTCATTTTGAGTATTTTTGGTTAATTAAAGACTTTTGTTGAACTGGTTCGGCCTCCCTCTGCTTTGGGGTTCGAAAGCTCACCCACAACAGAAACAGCGGCTCTACTCCGAGCTCCTCCCGTGTGACTGAGCTCCTCACCCTATCTCTAAGGGAGCGCCCAGCCACTCTGCGGAGGAAGCTCATTTCGACCGCTTGTATCCGCGATCTCGTTCTTTCGGTCATTACCCAAAGCTCATGACCATAGGTGAGGGAGGGAACAAAGATTGACCGGTAAATCGAGAGCTTTGCCTTTCGGCTCAGCTCCCTCTTCACCACAACGGTCCGATACAGCTCTGACTGCAGACGCTGCTCCCTCTTTACCACAACGGTCCGATACAGCGACCGCATCACTGCGCACGCTGCACCGATCCGCCTGTCAATCTCACGCTCCATCCTTCCCTCACTCGTGAACAAGACCCCGAGATACTTGAACTCCTCCACTTGAGGAAGGACCTCTCCACCCACCTGTAGAGGGCAAGGCACCTTTTTCCGGTCGAGCACCATGGCCTCGGATTTGGAGGTGCTGATTCTCATCCCAGCCGCTTCACACTCGGCTGCAAACCGTCCCAGTGCATGCTGCAGGTCCTGGTTCGTTGGAGCCAACAAGACAACATCGTCCGCAAACAGCAGAGATGAAATCCTGTGGTCTCCGAACCGGACCCCCTCCGACCCCTGGCTGCACCTAGAAATTCTGTCCATAAATACAGTGAACAGAACCGGTGACAAAGGGCAGCCCTGTCGGAGGCCAACATTCACCGGGAACAGGTCTGACTTACTGCCGGCAATGCGAACACAGCTCTGGCTCCGGTCATACAGGGACCGGACGGCCCTCAGCAGAGGACCTCCGACCCCGTACTCCCGGAGAACCCCCCAAAGGACACCCCGGGGAGCACAGTCGAACGCCTTCTCCAAATCCACAAAGCACATGTGGACAGGTTGGGCGAACTCCCATGAACCCTCGAGTATCCGATGGAGAGTATAGAGCTGGTCCAGTGTTCCGCGACCGGGACGAAAACCACACTGCTCCTCCTGAATCCGAGATTCGACCATCGGCCGTAGCCTCCTCTCCAGTACTTTGGAGTAGACCTTACCGGGGAGGCTGAGGAGTGTGATCCCACGATAATTGGAACACACCCTCCGGTCCCCCTTCTTGGAGAGAGGGACCACCACCCCGGTCTGCCACTCCATTGGCACCGCCCCCGATCGCCACGCGATGTTGCAGAGACGTGTCAGACTCCATGTCCCCCTCCTCCGCCGGGACCTGGGAGAAACTCTCCCGGAGGTGTGAGTTGAAAGTCCGTCTGACAGGGGGCTCAGCGAGACGTTCCCAGCAGACCCTCACTATACGCTTGGGCCTGCCAGGTCTGACCGGCTTCTTCCCCTGCCAGCGGATCCAACTCACGACCAGGTGATGATCGATTGACAGCTCCGCCCCTCTCTTCACCCGAGTGTCCGAGACACGCGGTCGAAGGTCAGATGATACGACAACAAAGTCGATCATCGACCTCCGGCCTAGGGTGTCCTGGTGCCACGTGCACTGGTGGACACCCTTGTGCTCGAACATGGTGTTCGTGATGGACAAACTGTGACTGGCACAGAAGTCCAACAACTGAACACTGCTCGGGTTCAGATCAGGGGGGCCGTTCTTCCCGATCACCCCTCTCCAAGTGTCACTGGCGTTTCCCACATGGGCGTTGAAGTCCCCCAGGAGAATAACGGAGTCCCCGGGCGGTGCACCGTCCAGTACCCCTCCCAAGGACTCCAAGAAGGCCGGGTACTCTGCACTGCTGTTAGGCCCGTAGGCCGTCACAACAATGAGAGACTTGTCCCCCACCCGGAGGCGGAGGGACGCGACCCTCTCATTCACCGGGGAGAACTCCAACACGTGGCGGCTGAGATGGGGGGCAATGAGAATGGCCACCCCAGCT